ATTTGTAGGAAATTAATAAATTTATAACTTATTGTGAATTGAAAAAAATAATAGTTACTTCCAAAGTATCATCCAAATGTATGTGGATATGCATTGGGAAAATGGCGCACCGTTTTATATATAAATAAAGCTGCGGTCACAGCAATTTTTGTCCCATAGACTTCCATTCATACACATGGAAAAACGTAAACGTAAGCTCATGCGATATGTGTTTAAAAGTTCAATCTTGGTTGGAATAACAGGTGTATTTTACATAAGAAGAAATCTTTATTATTAAAAGACTGGTTTGACAAAAGAGTTTGGAATGTAATTCATTTATTGGTTGATGATGGTAATATGTTGAGTTATTATCATTCTAAGTTTAAATTACATTTTAACTGTTCATATAGAGAATTCTCTTTGGTTGTCAAAGCTGTTCCTGTAGCTTTGAGGAATTTAGTTAAATGTATAGTGCAATACTCTTTGGTAATACCTACACTGGTTGATTTGTTTATTGCTAATTATTCATTTCTGGATATTAAATGTAGTAACAAGGTCTTGAGATAACTACTGACAAAAGAATATCTTCCTCTTCGTGTTAAAAGAAAAGTTTTATCTGAGAGATAAAAGCGGACTAAAGCGGACACTACTGAAGTTAATAAACGTTAATAGACGTTAATAAAATACAATTTATGGGAAATCTAATAAATAATACAAATAATTTTCCTTAACTTCCGGTCGCAGCTGTATGTGATCTATAGCTGATTAACCATGTGAATGGACGATAACAGCCTTCTGAGCCTACCAGAATGCCCTTATTGGCCCATATCTATCAGCTAATAACCACTGATAACGCCAATTCAACTGAGTTATAACATTCAATTCAGCTGGATGTACTTCCAACTGAAACACAATTTTGAGGCAGGGGCTTTCTTTTTCTGCATTATATCAAACTAATGGTAAGGGGCATGGATAATAAAAATATGGCTGAAGCCCTCAAACTGACCACTACTCTAAACGCAAAAGCAAATGAGCTTTCGATCACTTGTTTCTTATGCGATACTTCAAAATGTGCATGTACATGGTGATTTAAAACCAGCTATGTGTTTAGAGCACTGGAGAGCAGAGCACCACAAATGTGTCACCTTGAGAATTTCTTGTTTTGTATGTGCGACACAGTAAATCGTTGCCCCTTTACACATTTTGTTGCTAAACATGACAGCTATCTGCATATCATGACAAGTTCATAAGTGTTTTCTGCTAAATTTAATGTACTCTGGTCTCTTCATACACACAGAACAACAGTCCGGTGCATTCCATCATATCTTATACTGCAATATATTTATGATAGTTTAATAGAGATGAGTTTATGAGCAGAGATGAGTAAATATTATAATATAATGAACTGATTTCATTATTAAATATGTCATATTAAAATGATCAGAGTAATGTCATTTCTCTGAGGACAAATTACTTCGGACTCACTGGTTGAAAACACCCTCACTGTTAAACACAGACATATCTGTGGCTTGAACTACCAACCGTCGCACGCCAATTAGGACTACATTCTCAGTTGTATAAAGCAAACTGTCATGCAAATGTAAAGGTAATGGTGATTAGCTCGATGAATAACCAGCTTGTGCATGCCTTGCGTCTGACTTGTACTGTATCAGCGTCACACAAGCCTATTGACTAACAAACTAAATTATTTGAACAGTTTAAAAAAGTGTAGTTGTCCAAATAATGTTCTGCGAGTGTTTTATAACTGATGCGCACCCATGCAGTAGGATCTAGTGAGACTCTATGATGTTTAAGTAGTCAACCAGCCTGGTCTCACGAGGAAACGTAAGTATTTTACGTTTTTTCAGTTTAGTGGCGAATTCCTACCAGTTCAGTTGTACAAAAATGTACGATTTTAAAAAGGAGGCGTGGCACCTTACCCCACCCCTAACCGTCATTGGGTGATGAGCAAATCGTACAAAATTATACGAATTAGATCGTACAAATTCAAATGAATTAGCCACTAAAGCAAAAAGTTATGAATTGCTGTGAGATTGCGTTGTAGTGAACAGATGTCCACTATTTGTGTTTCAACAGATTTATAGTGTTTTTACTGTATTTTACATTTGTTTGTTTATTTATTTTTAATGGATATGAATAGTAGATCAATAGATGAAAAGTAGTTCGTCAAATTCAAAGCAGCAGCTGTTTTTTGCCATCTCCTGTTGTCCTGTCAGGTTAATTGATTATATATTAACTAAATATATTTATATCTTATTTTTCAATAGTAAGGCGACACAGTGGTGGAGTAGGTAGTGCTGTCGCCTTACAGCAAGAAGGTTGCTGGTTCGAGCCTCGGTTGGGTCAGTTGTTGTTTCTGTGTGGAGCATGTTCTCACTGCGTTCGTGTGGGTTTCTTCCAGGTGCTCCGGTTTCCCCCACAGTCCAAAGACATGCGGTACACATGAATTGGGTAGTCTAAATTGTCTGTAGTGTATGAGTGTGAATGAGAGTGTGTGGATGTTTCCAGGGAGATGGATTGCAGATGGAAGGTAAAAACGTAAAAACGTGCTGGATAAGTTGGCGGTTCATTCCGTTGTGGCAAACCCAGATTATTAAAGAGACTAAGCAGAAAAGAAAATAAATAAGTGAATAAATAAAATTTCTATAGTTTTTTGTATAAAAATGTATAAATAAAGGTTTTAAATACGCATTTTCTCTAGATAATCAGTTTAAGAGAAAATCTCAAAAAGATGGGCCTTCAAAAAAAAATCTCGCAGAAGAAGGTGGACCTCGAAGTGAAAAAACCCTGCTCTAAAGGAGGTTGAGTCTTCTCATATATGGGTCCTAAACTCTGGAAATAGCCTTCTTAACAGTGTCTGAGGCTCAGACACACTCTCTCAGTTCAAAACAAAATTAAAGACCGATCTTTTAAATTAAAGCATGAATACACACAATACATAACATAACTGTAAGATGTGTGTGCTCCATGCAGGGCTTGACAAAGCTATTAGTTACTAGTTAATTAGTAGTAGACAATAGAGTTATAGTCTCTTGTAAACTTAACTCTTCTGAGTTTGAATATAATGCACCAATGTGCAACAACTATTTTGAAAAGCGCTACAAATAAACTTGAATTAATGAATGAACATAATGAATTGGAAAATTTTGTAGTGTCCATTCTTAACATGTTCACAATTTTGTCCTGTGATCGACATGAGTATGACATTGTTCATGAAGAGCGTTTGCATTGAGACTTTTTGGAGAATAAATAGAACACTTCCAGTGGAGCAATTTAAGCATTTTTATGTGGGGTTTGAACATTTTTAATATTCACATATTGGATTTATTTGCATAGAAAGTCACAATAACCACTATTATCTTTCTAGTCATTTTCTGTCACAGTCTGTTGCTTTTACACTCATTCATATACAGAGGCAGATGTTTACATTATGCAGAAATTATGAATAATGTTTTATTGTCAGACGTCTTCTATTTTTAGATTTGCATTAATAAGCAAAATTAACCAATGAAACCCTTAACCCTTCTTCGAGCAATGATTTTAATTATAAGAATTATATTAGAAGTAAAGGTGAACTGTGCAAATGTTCCACCACTACATTTAACAAATGGAATATTTAATGTTTTAAGACACGAATACTCCCATATCTGCTGTTGGTTGAGCTAGTGTTGGTGTATCTGATTTGGTTGCTCCAAAAATAGAGCAATGTTTTTAAAGCATCACACTGTTTTCACGTTTCAGGAACACCAAACAAAAAACAATTATTTTACTTATAGTCTTAGCAAACGGCAATTGAAACAATGAAATTCTGTTTTAATTTAATTCTAATTATAATCTGTCTGATTCTGATTGGCTGGCAGGCGTATTTCACAGATAGTTCCAGTCAGTGTGATCACAGCCTAATGCTTTATATTCTTAAACATTAGTAATCATAGAAACCCAGTTAAGTATCAAATAGCACACTTCGGCAATTAGAAATCCCCATGTCATACAATAATTATGCCTCTTAGATTTTTTTTTTCAAATATTTCCCAAATTATGTTTAACCGAGCAAGGAATTGTTCACAATATTTCTTAAAACATTCTTTCTTCTGAATTCTATTTTGGCTAGAGTAAAGGCAGTTGCCTAGTTAACCGGATTAACCTAGTTACTCTTTAAATGTCACTTTAAGCTAAATACTAGTATGTTGAAAACAGCTAGTAAAACATTATGTACATAGAAATTAGTAATTAAAACTAACATCTTTATAAATGTGTTAAAAAAATCTTCTTTCTATTAAACAGAAATTGGGGAAAATAATATACAGGGGGCTAATAATCCAGGATGGATAATAATTTAACTGTATATCAAACACACAACCACTGGTGGTTATTTGTCCCCAACTAGCCAAGTTAGGGCAATTACTGAAATTTTTGTTTAATGATGGTTTGTTCACATGGGTGTCCAAACTCGGTCCTGGAGGGCTGGTGTTTTTTAAAAATGAAAATCTGCTTTCATTCTAGCCGAAATAAAACAAATAAGACTGCCTCCAGAAGGAAAAAATATTAAAGGAAAAACTGTGAAAAATGTCTTGCTCTGTTAAAAAAAATTGGTAAATATTTAAAAGCAAAAAAAAAAAAAAAAAAAAAATTCACAGAAGGGCTAATAAATGTGACTTCAACAGTATATTGCTTAACTATTCTGAATATAACAGTTTTCAGCAGGAGGGCCCACAATACTTATTACAGGGCATGTGATGGAGATTGCAAATGAGAAGCAGAGAAAATATCTAGTTTCGCTTCTAAGTTTATCTACATTTATGACAACCTGAAAGTGCAAAAGGCATGTGCTGTGAAGAAAAGAGGAAGCAAATGCAGTAATACTGTGACAAAATAAAAATGTAACCAAAAGACTTTCTCCAAAAGACTTTTTTTAAAATAGGAAATACTGTGAATTTTTTTTTTCTCTGTTAATCATCATTTGGGAAATAAAAAATAAATAAATTCACAGGAAGTCATCATTTTGACTTTAACTTTACATACTTTTTTTATTCCAGCCAAACTTAAATTGGATTTATGTGCTCTTCAGTGTAGGACTTTCAGCAGTGAAAATTAAACCACACTGAACCAAACTGAACTTCAACTCTGAAACCTGGACTGACACTGTTTCAATTTACAATAATCTTCTAAGTGAAGCTACTTTGACATAATCATTGTAACAGCGCTATAGAAATAAAGATGAAATGAATTGAATCAAAAGAAATAAGAATTAGAATCATAAATACTGTGAGAAAAATCCTTGCTCTGTTAAACTTCACTGAGATGTTTCAATAGATTCAATATTTTGTATGCGATCTCAGCTCATCGATGAGAGAGACCCCTAAACGAAAAGTTCTGGGGGGATTATAGTGCTCTGATATGTAGATCTCTTCAATTTGATTCTTGTTCAGGTTGAGCTTCACAAGGACTCTGTCCATGTTGCTTCGTTGATCATGTGGATCATAGTACTTCCTCACTTCATAGGGGAGATCCTCAGAGTGCCGGTAGTGAAGGTTTCCTATAGTGAAGTATTTATACGTGTGTTTGTCCTTCAATGGAGGGAGCAGGTTCCCTTCATTATGAAACACGTGGAACCCAAACTCTCCAGTTACAGGATTACAGAGAGCCTTCATGTTATTGTCGATGCAGTCTTTCACGTACCACTTCAGAAGAGCGAGTCCGTGTCGTGGCGGTGGAAATCCAAAGCCAGATTTTTTCAGCTCCTCTTCAGTGTTTAATGTTGTAATGGCCAGGACCAGGATGACTAGCAAAAGGCTGAGGTGTTTAATCATTGCTGTTTAGAGTCTGCAGGGAGAAGGAGCAATTTAATTTTAAAGTGTAGCTAGAAAAGATGACAATAATCCTTACAGTTAATATGAAATCAAAACCACATTTTATTGCATTTTCCTGGTCTTATCCACATGGATATCGAATAAAGACACATTCTTATTGAGAGAGAGAGAGAGAGAGAGAGAGAGAGAGAGAGAGAGAGAGAGAGAGAGAGAGAGAGAGAGAAACTCTAGCTTTCATAGTCAAAATCCATTGTACATCAAGTATATTTTCTATTTTACTGAACTGCATTATTCTTACCTTTGTAAAGACGTTTGTTTATTTATATACTTACATTTCAATTAGTCAAAGTTTTTGTTTCATTTTAATAATAATATTATATATATGTACAGGTGAAGTCAGAATTATAAGCCCCCCTGAATTATTAACCCCCTGTTTAGATTTTTCTTCAATTTCTGTTTAACAGAGAGAACACATTTAACACATTTCTTAACATAATAGCTTTAATAACTCATTTCTAATAACTGATTTATTTTATCTTTTTCATGATGACAGTAAATAATACTTGACCTAATATTTTTCAAGACACTTCTACACAGCTTAAAGGGACATTTAAAGGCTGAATCAGGTTAATTAGGCTAACTAGGCAGGTTAGGGCAATTAGACAAGGTGTTGTATAATGATGGTTTGTTCTGTAGACTATCGAAAAGAAACATAGCTTAAAGGGGCTAATAATTTTGACCCTAAAATTATTAAAAACAACTAAAAACTGCTTTCATTCTAGCCAAAATAAAACAATATAGACGTTCTCCAGAAGAAAAAATATTATCAGACATACTGTGAAAATTTCCTTGCTCTGTTAAACATCATTTTGAAAAAAAAAAAAAAAAAAAATATATATATATATATATAAATCAAAGCTAATTATTCTGACTTTAACTGTATATTGCTTTACCATGTTTTAACCATAAGCCTTAGAAGCTGGCAAGGTGTAGAAAAAGAAAAAAAAAGAGAAGAGAAAAAAAAGGTAAAAAAAAAAAACATATATTAGTCCGAAAATAGTAATCAATAATAATAATATTAATATTATTATTATTATTATTAATAATAATAATAATAATAATAAGAAGAAAAATCTATAAAACAAACAATAAAATCCAAATATTTAAATTCAAAACCATTTATACATTATATATATATATATAATATTAACAATAATAATAATAATCTGATCAATTAGAAAACACATTAAACGTATAGTCCTATAATTTATGTATCTGTTGTGCAGTTTTATTTTTAAAAATACTAAATACTGTCTTAATACTTTGATAAATAAATCCCTACAGTTCTAAAGATTCTTCCCATTGATACTGTCAGCAATCTTTTTTTTCCCATTTACTTATTCTTACCATGCCATCACCCATCTCAAACCTGCTTTCCTCTCAGTACTGTTACAAACAATATATAGACAAAAAATAATTACACTTCTATGAAACTCTTTCTGTCAGAATAAAACATCTGCGTCTCATTTACAGTTTGTGCAACCCATGATGATCTTTTTTTAAACAAAGAATAACAGCAAAAAATAGCACACTCTATTACGCAGTCTTCATGTTAATTTACCTGAATGAGTCAGTAGAACGTGGGTGAGGAACGTCTTGAGGAGGCTGAGGATATTTTGGGAGTTTAACTGCGTCCATACAGAGTCTTTTCAGAGTATGTGAACCTTTACTTTGAGAGTGTTCTGGCTTGTTTTTTTCACACTATCTAAGAGGAAGTGGTTAAATACGTGAAGCCTACATGACAGATGCGTTCTGCCCTGTTGCCTGGTCTCAGTTCCGGATTATAAATGATCAAAATGCATTCATCTTAATCCTAACAGCTCCGATTCAATTCAAAACATGACAGCTGTGAAATTAAAACACATAATGTGCCGACTGAAAAGAGAAGAAACACATTTCTTCTTCCCTATAGGAAAAAAGCAAATGTGGCATGCGATAGCCTACAGGTGATCTTTGAGGATATCTGCAGGTGGAAAGTACAGTTTCTGCTCTCAGATTACGTTCAAAGTTTCATTGAGGCAAAGTCAGTTCACTCATTTCCGAAAATCCCCTCAGACTATACATATTTCAGCCTTGAAATTGGTTTGAAAGAGCGAAGTGTCCGCAAAATGTTGAAGATTGTGTTTTCATTTAAGACACACAAACATTATTGCAAATGAAGGTTCCATGTAGAACTTATTACATATTTGAAATCTTTCAGAGCACAAAATGTAATGAAAAAATTGGCCATAATTTAACTTCTTAGTCTTGATGTTAGTTAATATTGTGTATTGTCAATGCCACTATAGTTTATGCTTGTTGTTGAACTTTGCCTTTCTCTTTTCTGTTTTGTAAACTTTTAAATGATTTGTGTAATGAGGGGGAACTAAATACATAAATACATTATTAATAAATGTTTTGTTAATAAACTTCTGAACAAAATTAACTTAAATTTTCCTTAATAAAATGTTAACCATGTGACTATAAAAAAATAATTGAATTTCATTCATTCATTTTCTTTTCGGCTTAATCCCTATTTATCAGGGGTCGCCACAGCGGAATGAACCGTCAACCATTCCAGCATACACAGCGGATGCCATTCCAGTTGCAATCCAAAACTGGAAAACACCCATACACCCTTGCTTTCACACACATACACTACAGCCAATTTAGTTTATTCAATTCACCTGTAGCACATGTTTTTTTACTGTTTGGGAAACCGTAGCACACGGAAGAAACCCACGCCAACACAGGTAGATCATGCACACTCTTCACAGAAATTCCAACTGACCCAGCTGGGGCTCGAACCAGCAACCTTCTTGCTGTGAGGCGATTGTGCTACCCACTGCTCCACCGTGATGCCCTAATTTGTATTTTAAAATGTTATTTATTTGGTACATGTTTTACTGTATTTTAAACGTCTTAATCAATATTATTCAGATTGGTGTATTTTTATTATTAAATTGAATTTAGTTTAGCTACTTAACTCATTATTTTTATTTAAAAAAAGCATTTGTACAACCCAGATATACTAAAAAAAACAATTTGCAGAAGCATACTTCAAGTCAATTTTAGGATCTCTTATAAGGTACAACTTGTCAATATCATATAAAATTTACTTAATGTTTACTCCCTAATTAAGTAAAAGTGAATTGATTATCTTTATTTTTCAGTCTATATATATTGAAATGAACCAAGTAATGTCAAGTTCTTGTTTTAGCAGAAGGAATTGTTTATCCATTTAAATAAATCTTACTAGTTACAAATTAGCACAATTAGTGTAACTTGGTTTAATTAAGACACACAGCTCCACTTAAAATGTGTTATTTCATGTTATTCTAAGCAAATTGAACCCAAGAGCAAATTTACTTTAAAAATCCCTATTGATCTCAGAGGTAACTGAGCTATGGCTTTCTGAGTGATGCGTCAAACATGAATGTGATAACAAAAATGCCAAGACTTAAAGCATGAGTGCTTCTCCTCTGCAAGGTGGTAACCTAAGGTCACACTTTATTTTGATGGTCCATTTGTTGAATTTAAGTTACATTGCATCTACATGCCAACTTATACTCATTAGGATTATAAAGACTGATTTATACTTCTGCGTCAAACGCCGGCGTATGCTACGGCGCTGACGCATAGCCCTTCGCCGTGGTCGTCGGCGTCACTGACCAGCACCTCTCAAAAAATGTAACCACAAGTCGCAACGACGCGTAGCGTAAGCTCTGTGATTGGTCGGCTTGGTAGCGCTGACAAGTCTGGGCGGAACCGAGAGCCGCTCGAATGGCGCGAGCGATTGTTTACAAGTTTGGAGCCCGTGAAGGAGCTCCGGATGGAAAGTTTTGTTTTGTGTTTACCTCATAGTTAAAGTTGTTGCACGTCCGCCGGTTCCTGCCTCAAAATGAGCGAGTTTGAGCCACTTGTACAACCAGGAAGTGTTCAGAAAAAGCAAAAAAAGCAGCGAAGAAACTCGACACAGAGGAACATTTACATCTCACTGCCAACTAGAGTTTCAGAAGTGTTAATGCAGACCGACAGAGGCAGTGCGCAGAAGTATAAATGCACAGCCACGCGCGTTGCATGTGCCGTGGGTTACGCCAGGTCACCTGACGCAGAAGTATAAATCAGGCTTAAGTAGACTGTTAGGTTGGGTTAAGGCTGATTTATACTTCTGCGTCAAACACCGGCGTATGCTACGGCGCTGACGCATAGCCCTTCGCCGTGGCCGTGGCCGTCACTGACGTGCACCTCTCAAAAAATGTAACTACATGTCGCAACGACGCATAGCGTAAGCTCTGTGATTGGTCAGCTTGGTAGCGCTGACGAGTCTGGGCGGGACCGAGAGCCCCGTGAATGGCGCGAGCGATTGTTTTTCAAGTGTGGAGTCCCGTGAAGGAGCTCCGGATGTAAAGTTTTGTTTTGTGTTTACCTCATAGTTAAAGTTGTTGCACGTCCGCCGTTTCCTGCCTCAAAATGAGCGAGTTTGAGCCACTTGTACAACCAGGAAGTGTTCAGAAAAAGCAAAAAAGCAGCGAAGAAACTCGACACATAGGAACATTTACACCTCACTGCCAACTAGCGTTTCGGAAGTGTCAATGCAGACCGACAGAGACAGTGCGCAGAAGTATAAATGCACAGCCACGCGCGTTGCATGCGCCGTGGGTTACGCCGGTCACCTGACGCAGAAGTATAAATCAGGCTTAAAGCCTTAGGGTTAGTGTAAGTTCACATGTACTTGCAAAGTTTCTTAGTCAGTTTAATGTCTGTTGAAGGAGCAGTATTAACAGATATTAAGCAGACAGTCTACTAATACTCAAATGGACAATCAAAAAAAAGTGTTAACCTCTTTCCCGCAAATTTAACCACCTAATATTGTTTTCAATTTCAAAATGTCTTCCTCTTAATTCAATCCCTTGCAAAGCATGCTGGGAACTACATAGCCATTGCGACATATCCATTATTAAAATGTACTTAATATTGCTAGATTTGTGACAATTAGACAATATTTAAATATTACAAGTAAATGAATATTAACCCTTTCCACTCTTGCATTTATTATATGAATTAAATGTGTACATATTTATATTCACTTAAAAATTCTAGTTATCCTTGACGCTTAATATTACAATTTAAAAATTATAAGAGTAAATTTATTAGATTTGACTACACCAAAAAGGCATTTCTTCCAATGTAGTACTGTTTTGCAGCCACAACATCATTAAATCATACACTGAAAAAAATCCATACATCGGATCGGACTCCAATAACTCTAAAACATTATTTCTCAATTCAATTATAAAATGTACAATGTCGTTGCTTTTTTTCCCTCAACAAGTGCAATTTTGCCCATGGCTTTTAGTCAATTTTTTTGTACATTTATATGATAACAATATAATTAAATTGAAAAAACAAAACAAACAAAAAAAACTTTTTTAATGTCATGTATAACATGTTATGTACATACCAAAACCGGGTCATGCCAGTAGCTTTTTGGTTTTGACTAATTCGTATTTTCATAGTTTACATGAAGACAATAATGTAAAAAAAAAACTTATAATCTGCATTCTGAAAGGCATAAGTTGGTAGTTTCAGGAACCCCAAATGCCAAGATTGCAAATTAAACATTTTTCATCTTTAGTTTAAAATGTTGTTGTGTAAAGCCCTATTTATTTTCTAAAAATACTACATTTAAAAGTTCACTGACTCAAAAATTAGACTTTCTCTCGAGTGTCTTAATAAATGCTTATTTCAACAACATTTCACTATTCTATATTAATGACATAAATAGCCAAATCCACCCTTGATTATTTTTCACCTCATTTCACAACAAAGTAACACATTTATCCTGTACCTTCAGGTGAGCAGAGAAAGTGTCATGTACACATTTCACATATAACATAAATGTCTTTTCTCTTCGCCGTTCGCTTATTGCAACTGACAGCATCATAGAAACCCTTCCCGACTTCATTACAAATAAATTATACTTTTAAATGATCCCAGCATGGCAAACAAGCCCAGCTTTTAGACGGAGGTATGAATAATAAAGAACGAGAGCGAACCAGAGAGCAAGCATTAGCATTTCATTTCTACAGATTTAACACCAAATAAAGTTCCATTTTTCTGTGTTCATTTATTTATTTTTTTCCACCTTCCTGCTTACATTGATGTGCGCATAAAAGCAGGCTGGGTTAATCTCCCTGGCAACGCGGGCGCTCTGGCTCTCGGGTAGTTTCTTTAATTCCTCTGGTGTGTGTATACACGACTTTAGGGTCACACCGTATTAGTTCCCCCTGCCTCTGGCTGCTATAAGCCATCCCGAGTATAAAGATCAGTTCCTTCCATTCCATGCTGAGTGTGACCTGAAGTTAACCAGCTGAGCTGTGCTGAAACCACTCACTGGAGTACAAACTGCCTCTACTATCAGCTGTTTATTTGTGTGCACTGTCTGAGTTGTTTTAGTGGTTGGCTTGTTAACTCGTTCTTTTCCTCCGAGGAGATTTTGCTGCATTCTTCAATTGGTACAAAATGCTGCTGCCAGGCTTTTCTCTTAGAATTACTCCAGTTTGGGCTTTTGTAGACTGGTTTCCTGTAGAATTTAGGATTTATTTAAAGGTCCTATTGATGGTTTCTAATGCGTTGCATGGCATTTCCTCAAAATGTTGTGTATAGCTTAACTTTAAATAAGCCTATATTTCTCAAATATGGTGATCAAAACCAGAATAGGGAAGCATTGTTTCTGTTGCTTCACGCCATGGCACATTTGCTTTTTTCATGACAGACTTTCTAA